CTCACTGCTGTCTCGGCGCTGACTACAGCCTGTCCTCTTCAAAAAGTTATCATAACTCACTGAGGCATGCTGGAAGAACATCCTCACAGCTTGGCAGCATCGCAAAACCTTCACGCATCGTAACTCTACTCCCGCGAGCTTCATGGGGGGGGGGGGGGGGGCGCAGCTGCGACAGAGGGCATGTGCTCAGACACTGGCGTGCGTGAACTGTACGTAGACAGACGGTTTGCTAACAAGCGGTTTGATTACGAGCCCAGATTGAACGGATGGTGTGTAAAAAATCACATGCCCAGCAGACAGCCAATGGATCCAATTTACTACGTAAACAGAGAAGATAACACGTCATCAATCACAAAACGCTCAGCACACCGTCCAAGTAAACGCAACGCCTGCTGCGTCACTGTCTCAGCCGTGACGTCACACGGCTGCAACCGAGATCGCGAGCTCTGTCCGACTGCTCGATTCTACGAACACTGCTGATCGCACTTCCCGTATCATTCGCTATCTGTGTGGACGACTCATCAATAAATTGTTTAACTATGATAGCTGAGGTTCACGCACAGCTATCATTCCTAGCCCGTGTCGATGACGACCCTAAATCCGGGCAACGCGCCTGCGGTCTTGAAGGCCCTCCCTCGGCGTCCCCCCCCCCCCCCCCAACAAAAAACAGTGTTATACATTCGACTCACGCGCAGTGGTAGCATCTCGCTGCCCGAAAATGGTACTCGGGCAGTGAGCGCTCAGTCTGACCAGAGCAAAGACAGGTCGGCACCGTGATGGTGTCACCATTCCGCGCGCCCATCAGACTGGCGCGGCTAACAGTCTGAAGCTAGATTTACCAGTCGCACATTATTGTATGTGATGTACAGCTCCTTGAGAGCTTCTTGCAAAAAGTTTTGGCAAAACACCATTCAAATTTTAAATGCATTCACTATTGCTGCTCCTGCGCCACGCCAGCTCCAATTATCAGCTGCCAAATATTCAGTACGAAGGGGGGCCTCCTGGTTCATAACGAGGATCTCCTTGTTTATAAAAACATCTTCTAGTTCATACTAGTGACCTCCCAAGCCAGCAATGAAACCTACTGACCAAAGCCTCTTGATGTAACACAAAATTGGGCCTCCTGGTTAAGAGCAGAGGCTACCCCATTTATAAAAGCGGTCTTATAATCCAGAAAAGGGTCTCTTGATGCAAAAGTCTTATGAGTCTGATTTAGACTCTTAAGCTCAGTTATGGGGGCCTTCTTGATCTGAATTTTAGTGATCAAATAATCTGCAAAGCCTTTGTCTGGTTCCAAGGGGCTTCAAAATTTTGAGAGGGAAAAACATATTTTTGCGCTTGCCTACTGGCAACTAGGGAGCAACTACCCCCTGTGCCTCACCTGTTACCTCCTGCTGTGCCCCAGTCAAAGGCAGCGACGAAGGAAGTCTTCGTTGCACGAATAATAGTGTTTCGCATGGTTCGGAAACGCGTTAAAACTGGACTTATCATGCATTGATGTAGTGTTCCCCGGAGATGCACGGAGATGAATCACGTGCGGATCGACAAAACTAAATACTATGGAATTTCAAAGAACATCCCTCTTACGCGCTATTGTCTTGCACAACGCATAGCATAAGCCCTGTCCCGAGGATAAACATGGAAGTTTGGGAAAAGGGTGAAGAAAATATCACCCCATTTGCAATGAGCTTCAGTCAATCCAATGCCACAATTCTGTGGCCAAACAGACGCTTGATATAACATCAAAAGACTCTTTGGAATATTGTTAATGGTGTATCTCAATGGTGAATGGTGTTCACATCTCTAAAACACACACACACACACACACACACACACACACACACACACACACACACACACACACACACACACACACACACACACACACACACACACACACACACACACACACACACACACACACACACACACACACACACACACACACACACACACACACACACACACACACACACACACACACACACACACACACACACACACACATACTTGTGTGCCGTGCCTTACGGGACACCTGACTCAGCCGTCACTACCGAGAACCACCCGAACGAATGGCGGCATCGCAGCCAAATTGGAAGGCCATGCAGCCATTTGGCCGTTTAAGAACATGATGGGGTAAAGCTGCCATCTTTAGCTTACACTGGCAATTGAAAATACCGAGGACAGTGATAACAGAGGACCGTGTGTGACTTTTCTGTCATATTCAGCTGTGTATTGAGGACCAGGAGTTGCACCTAGAAATTAAGGACAAAGGGACAAAGGCTCTCAGGTCGGGGGCCTCGAACATCATTCAGAAGGACTCCTTGGGGGTTGCTGGGAAACTGAGGGCCCCTTTACCGGTGAGAGACGATGTCGAACAGTCTGTTTTGGATATTTGTCGACAAATGTTTCGCTTGAAACCAACATGTTAATTAATCAGCGAGGCAACGACCATCTCATAAACCAGTGTCGCGGCCACCTTTGAAAGATGACGGCGACAAACCAAACACGGCCAGATATCAATATGCTACCTTGTGCACAAGCGCGCAGCCAGAGCCTTGGCAATGGGCCAGGGGCACGCACAAGGTTGATAAAGGGCCCCCCAATGGTGAAAGCCCCCCCCCCCCCCAAACAAAAATACCGCTGGCATTGGAGTGCCACATTGTGCCGGCCGGGGCTCTGAATAGTCTTCCAGCCGACCTTTCTGGCCTTTGGGCCCTCAAATCAGGCCCTTAATCGTAAATCCCGAAGCCCTTCGGGTCCCCTGAAACCTTAGGCAGGGGGAACGTGCCCCCTGTGGCCTTCCCTCCCTGCGCTCCTGCTTGCGCGTCAGGCTGTTGGTTTGCGTTCAGATATAGGCAAATAACGGCGGATTGTAGGCTTTCTGCTGCTTAAATCATTCATCTATAATATAAAAATCGTTTTACTCTATTTTATCATGGTGCACTTTCCGGTCGTCCCGTTAAAGTCTAAATCAAGTCGGATAAATAGTAGCATACGCCATGTTAATACCTGCTGAACACTCTTCATGAAAAAGCCCTCCCCAGGCGGGTTGATATCACCAACGGATTTTGGCTCCATCGACCTCCATACGACATTGGCTCCATGCTGTGGAATCGCCTCGGACCGCATAACAAAGGACTGCAGTTCATTAAACTACCCGATGAGTGTTTGCCCCGACGGCTGGACACCCGGGACACTAAATGTTTTCCGTCCCCAACGGCCCGGTAAGAGTAGGAGAAAGGGCAACCAACGCCTTTTGGGTTTCCATGACCCTTTAGCACTAATAGTGCTAACAGTGCTAAAGCATCATCAATGGCCCGGTCGGCGGCACACTACTCGACGGCGGGTTTCCCGAAGCTTCTGCTGTTGCAACGGTTGCAGCAGAGGGCGGCCGGGGCTGAGGAGCGGGCAACGGAGGCGACGCGCCAGACAGCGGTGGAAAAATTGACTCGAGGTGCTGCTGGAACTGTTTATCTGCTGACCGAGCTACTGCAGTTTCAGGTGCTTCGGTGGGCAGCCGCCGTTCATCTCATTCGCAGGTGACTCCGACAGTCTCTTCTACACTGTCGGCGTTCCAGTCAGTATACAAAGCCCATGTTGCTCGACCCTGCTCGCGAACCCCGGTGTCTTAGGGCGACAGTACACAGCCTCTAATGCTGTGGATGTGACTGGCGGCGGCCTCGATTGGTGGGGTACACAGTTTGTAGCCCGCTCTTGGGATACGGCTTGTGCCGGCGTCAATGCAGCGGTCTACTTAATGATGGCCTCTTATGCGACTGAGTGTGGGTTAATGGTTCGCTGTTGGTGTAACTGTGAGTCACGTGCTCACGCTACCTGTTAAATGTGCCTTTCCCACGGCTTGCGTGTGTTGGGTTTTTTATATACGTGTCAATTACGCATATGCACTTTCTTCATACAAGTGGAATCTATGGTGCGGCGGGATGTAGCAATCAGCTGCTGACCGAGGAAGGAGGACCGTGTAACACTAAAATCAATGAGTCAGTCGTTACAGTCATTGCAGTCAGTCACTGAAGCCAAACGAGCTGCCTCATAAACATGTCGGCTGTTTGGCTGATGCGAGATTTCGTGCTCGACGCCCACGCGCCCATTCCAGTCTTCAAAAACTAGTCAAAGGCCCCTGTGGCCCACCACTTCCCAATGTAACAAGTGTGCTTTGGTTAAGTGTAGTGGTGTCAGATTTGCCAACGGATCTCAAAAATGACGTAGAGAAAGAAGCATTTGCATTGAATCCTGTATTGGAAAGATGCGACAGGAGAATGACACACCTAATTTGCTTCCAAACTGACATTCAGGTATAACGCATTTTTACCAATGGGGTGGGTCTATTTCCGTGCTTAGGTGTCATCTTCCGCCCAGAATTGCAAATCTCGCCATACTGCCCTTGGTGAGCACTGCTTTTTCACCGTTCATCAGCTCCACCTACACAGATTGCTACTATAAACGGGAGCAACAACAAGGAGATCGTTTTTGTCGTTGCGAAATTTACTAGCGAGCATCATCCAAACGTGAACGAAGTCGACATCTAATGTGTAAGTCACTGAGACTCATTTCGCCTTACGACGTGCTCTAACAATCACGTTATGGACATGGATTTAACATCTCTCCATGAGCGCTAGGACAGAGCATTTTCTGCTGACAGGGCACGTAAGCATGCAGCTTGGCCAGAAACCTCCATGTGGCTAACAAACATGCCAAGCTGCCTCATCACAGCTGCCTTTTCCGCATTGCACCAGGCAATGCGTCTTTTTTGCCAGTGGTGTTTCTTTTCCTGAGCGACATTGTTAGTCTCTCGATGTGAAGATGTCTCCTCCGGAAACAAGTCTCCCTTCCCCTCTTGGCTTTTTGTCCAGGTAGGACATTTGCGACCTCCACCACACAATCGTCTTCACCCATGTCCTCCGGATCGTCCTCTTCTGCCATTGGTGCGCTGTTGAGGTAGTCGACCTCGTCCAGATTTTTCCCTTTGCAGACAGAGATGCCATTTTTGGTTTATTGGTTTTATACAACACGCATCACATCGCAGCCTACTCCTGTACATTTTGCTTCGATCCTGAGCATAAAGCACAGCGACTTTAAAACATGGAAAAAGGAAAACAAAATAACTGACCCAAAACGGAACGCCAACTGTATTCTCGCTCCGTTGTTTCGTAATCTACGAACTACACACTGCACAACTACATCTTTAGAATACCGCTCCGTATTTAAGATCATCTAGAAAATGTATACAGTTTGGCTCCAATGGTAATTTGCAGGCCGTCCAATGCTTGAAAGCGGAACTTCAAATACTCGCATCCTGAACGAGTGTCGCTCTCGGGGAGTAATCTGGAAAGCCGAAAACGGGTGAGATATGAGAAATTTCAGTTCAGAACAGGATTGTGACCCCCACGTGAAAGAAAGTTGTGCTTGTGTTCAGAAGCGTGGGCATGCACCACGCTGATGGCTCACGGGTGGTGGAATTAAAATAGCTGTGCAATAGTCATGTCCCGAAAGATAGCTTTCCAGTTCGCAGCAAATCCGTGAATGAATATCGGAGGCCACAGGCCTCCCGTCCGCGTACATATTACCCATCTTGTTAGAGCTCATGCACTGCCGTCAAGAAGAAGGAAGTGATGGGGCGGCGATGGGGGCGGAGAGAGGGGGACAACAATAAATCGTACTAAGCTCTAGCCACGCAGCCGAACTTAACCTGAAATTAGGCCAACAACAGCAGAGTCGCCAACATTCATCGTCAACCCGATCAGCAGCTACCGTAATTCGGACGGCCCTCATGCATGGTACGCGCGCCCGTTGGCAAACTATGGCGTGCCTGTCTTCATTCCTGTAGCCATGCACGCACAGCTGCGATGGGAATCGATTTAGAGAAGAGCAACAGTTCCAGTATCATCGCTGACCGCATGCGGCAAATGCGAGTCCATGCCCTGATGTCCTAGGCTTACTACGCCCTGTCAATGTCATGCTGTTCATGCACGCCATACGGTTAACAGTCGTAAGACAGCGAGGCATAACCGAAACGAGTTGTGGTAAAAAGCTTATTGCCTCTAAGCTCAAACAATGCATCAATAAGAAATGACGAAACTACGACAGACAGGCGGCGGTGGCCCACAGACCGTCATCCCAGCCCCCGGGCGAGTACGCCCCCCTAGCCCAAGTGTATGTCTACTGGCTGGTTGGTAAGAGTGGACAGTTTTCTGACCACTGCCATATCGCGGGTAGTGCAGGATGAAGGTAGTGTGCGCCATGATGCAAACATTATGATATATTTGATAGATGATTTTGGATCGAGTGCGTATTGTGAGTGTGATTGCACGCTATATGTGAATGCATCAACAAAAATTACAAAAAGACCAGACAACCAAACCGCTGACCTGACCATCGCATTTGAAACTATCCGACGTCACACCGTGATACTGGCCGCGAAACAGATGGGAGGCAGCCCCAATGCACACAAACGCCGCAACTGTTTTGACAACGTGACACGCTGGAAGACCGACACCCCTCCTTGCTGCGGATGGGCTTCTCCACGCCATTGCGAGACACTCGTCTGTCTAGCCCCCGCAGACGAGGTCTCTTCGCAGGCATTTTGGTCTACCCGGAGTGCGCAGACCAGAACCATGCTTAGTGTCCCCTCGATGGATTTTTGGCAACACCGTTATGGCCCGGAGCCGGATGTGGCAGCCAAACCCGCTACCACAAGCTATGTTCAGTGAGCGGCCGGACCCCACGCTCATGAAAGCGTCGGTGATTCCCGCGCAAACAAACCGGCGTTGGTGATGTATATTATAGATATATATAGATATAGATATATATATATATATATATATATATATATATATATATATCACTGATCCCGTCGTAAAATGCGTAAAACAACATATAGTAATGATCCAAGGCTTGGTTCAATCGTCCCATTCATGGGAAATAATTAAAGAAACTATGTTGCAGCAAGCATCCTAAGCCATACACATTTCACATACAATGAAAAAACCGAGACTGCCAGTGACTAAAAACTTTTTAAAGCAACTTCTGCACCCCACCTGTTCGAATTTGGCAGGGAAACTGCTTGCGAGGCCTATTTCCACCATCGCCAATGCTTCTCATTGTTCTTCGGGTAGCCGTGCCCGCGGTAAATATTCTCGAGGACCCATGAGCTCGAACTCTTGACCCGAACGCCCCAAAATCTGTCCTTCCCGAAGAATATCATGCTCCATATTGCAAATAACATATGAAAATGCTGTTGCGCGTAAGTCCTTAAGCATTCCAAATATAGCCCGAGTTACCTTTGTTGCAGTAAACTTTCCGGAGGACTTCTTTTAGAGGACTAAACTTCTTTAACTCTCCCAATGGTATACATATAGGCTACCTGAGAACAAAAATGTTTTTGCATGTTTCATTAAAGAATGACGCCATGCACCGGTGGTGCCACAGAGAAGGAGCACTAAATGTTGACAAGACCATTCAATAACGCGGATGCGGGTGTACCTACATAATTGCAGGCCGCGATATGTTAGTGGTGTTGGTGCAGGTGGTGGTGGCGTTGGTTGCAGAATAAAGTGGGGCTGGTACAGTCGTCACGTGCTTGCGTAGACCAGCGATGAGGATGGTGGAATGAGATACCAAAATGACGTTACACTGAGGTCACGCACCATGCAGGAGCTGTTATGGTCACACAATGGTAGGGGGGGGGGGAGGCAGACATTGGTGGTGTTGGCAGGATCAAACACTGGTGAAACTGGCAGGGCAATGGGGTCAGCTGCATGGAGCCGACACTCGCATGGAGCTGGAGGGGTCAGACACCATGGTGGGATGGGTAGACCCAGACATTGTGGTGGGGTGCAGGGTGTCATGCACTGTAATGACATCCTACTGGTTAAGGCACTGATAGGGATGGTGGAGCCAGGCAGTTTAGTGGCATATTTGTGGGGGTCGGACGATGCAGTGGTGTTGGCAGTGTTGGACAATGTGATGGAGTAGATAGAGAAAGAAAAGCATGCATGAAATGCTAGGTTAGAGCTGATGACAACAAATTCTACATGTCACAAATGATTCACACCCTCTTCAGAGTAGTCATTTCCTACATAATTTGACTTTCCTGACATCAACTGACCTGAATCAAACCGGTCGCACTAAGGCTTTCTGGTCTTCAATCGCTTCAATGTCCAGTAGCTATAACATCACCTGAAACAGCAACAATGCTAAAAATTATTCAGTGGGTGGAGATTAACTAAGGACTAAGTAAGTATTTTTTTTTTTGTTTTTAGCGCCCCGGAGGTGTTCATTGTATCTTAAACGTGACGGACGTATGGACTTCCCGACATAGACTCAAGCAAAACAGGGAATACCCCTTTCGGTGACCATTTTTTGGCAAAACATGCTCAGGCTGAAATCGAGGGAGGTATGGACCCTATGCCCCTTTTAGAGCCCAAAGTCGTCTACAGAGGAGAGGACCACCCAGGTAGGGAAAAATTTAATCTATTCTTGCAAAAAATCAGCGCCCAAATTTTAACATACAAAGCTCATCCTGGCCGATTTTGCGAACATGATATGTGCCTTTATATGCGATGTGTGCTAGCTTAAAATAGTTAACATGTGAATTGACGCCTGACGCGTGATGCGCGATGTCTGTTCAGTTGAAATCGCTTGCATGTATAATTGATGCGCGACTATGATACCTGTTAACCTCAACTCGTTTGTATGTTTGAATGAAGCGTTATGCATGAGGCCTACTTGCTTGAATTAGTTTGCATATACACGTATTGTCGCCTATTCTAATTATTAGATAAGCACCGTATCGTGGTAACGGCTAGCAATAACTTTTTGTTTAATCCTCTAAGAGTTGGTGTCCTGTAAAAACTGGTTTTCTATTTCCAAAAAAGCTGAAAAATCGGGTAGGGCCACCAGCAGGCAATTTTGAATTTATTTCTGCTACTTTTTCGATATAGGCATGTTGCCGAAATATCAATTCAACTATATCTTTATTCTCCCGGTTTTTCTTCGACGAATGAGGCTATTAATATTGTCTTAGCTATGTGAAAAATGCTCCTCTGCTAATGCTAATGCACTGAACAACTTACGTAATCTTGCACAACATTGATTTGAGCCAACCGACGGTCGTTACGTCTGAAAATGTATTCACAAAGCCGGATATGAACGACGCAACGGTCATATGATGGCTTGCCTTAATCGCCCCATGGCCAATGAAATGGCAGCATTTGAAGACATTACGCGTTGTGGGTGCCTGGGTGACCTTGAAATAGTCACCACGAAATAATATTCGCACCTTTGCAGGTGTGTAGATCAGAAACTAGAAAGGTTTACAAAATTAGAAGGATGCTTAAGAATGGCAGGACTGCGTAACATACTGAATGATCTTCAAGATGGCTAATTTCAATTGAAACCCATACAAATGTGGCACACACCCTTTTATGCTCTGGTATCTACCACACACTAAGGTTCCGATGTATGGAAAACCTTATGTTTGTAATGATTTCCCCTTCAAGGCTAAATTGATGCCCAAAGCCTCTGAAAACGTGTTGTTCTAGGGGGTTGGGGAACATGTCTGTAAGTACCTAACGGCAACATTTTTTAAATGTAATACAACACCTCACTGCAAATGCATGAGAAAAACTGCAAGCATCCCCCTTACAACGTCTGGTCTAGCGTGATAAACCTACCCAGACAATTGCATAATATTGCTGAAGTCAATCTCTTCAACCACCTTCAAAAGCTAACACAATGTTTGCCACTTCAGCAACTATCCTTATCAGCACACCATTCTCTAATCAACCAAGGCAGATCAGTCCTCCATTAGCTACAGTTGTCGGTAAACAGGGTTCACCAATCCCTTTCGAATATTTACTACTCACTTTTTAAAACCTTGCCGGACGACAATAACTTGCATCCAACGTAAGCCCAGTCTTCTCGTCCGAGAGGCCGCACACCGCAATGTCACCGTCGCGCTCGTTCCAAGAACGCGCAATGGCGGCGATAGAGATATGTATCCCATGTGACTTAACACAATTTACATTAATATCTTTTCATCACCAGTTCAACGTGATTCAGTGTGATTTAAATGCTTATACCAAACGCAAACAACTACAAGTGATGAGACCATATCATGGAGCAGCGTGATTTCGCATTTCCTTATTCATCTCTATTCTCTTCCACGTGACCTTGCCGCCTGAAAACTTACACACGCGCGCAGTTCGTCCAAGATAACCCCACTTTACACAACCGGAAGTAAAATGCGTGTAATTATCGTTTTCGAGGACCAGCTGAAATCGAATAAACCATGTTCAACAAGACTAAAATATCTCATTTAAGGCCTCTGAAAACGAGGTCCGGCATTTGGACCTCGGTAGTGAATACCGGACCTCGCAGCAGTGACGGGTTGTTGGGTGTGTAACCGGATTTGGTCCTCTGTTTTCACGGCACACAAGAGCCACACACACACACCCACACACACACACAACACACACACACCACACACACACACAC